AGGCAAAAAGCCTTCAGATTTCACGCTCTACTACATAGTTAAGGATCTGAGATTTTTATTTGGGAATACAGGAGTAGTTTTGGGTAGTATGGCAAAAGAGAGTTGGTCCCTAAAAAGTTACAGAAACATTGACTGAATAAATTATCAGTTTCAAATAATTAAAACTTATTTCATAATTTACTTCAATTTAATTTGTGTCCCATATGTCATCTTCATTTGACAACTTGATGATATTTCTGTTTCCATTAGCTTTTTATTTGGAAAACCTGGGATTATTTTTGGATCTATAGCATTCCTTTAAAAAAATTTTTTTTAAAGCTTCATTAAAGAAAAAATATTTAGATTTGGGGAGCAAACTAAATTTCTCAAAGGAAACTAAATTTCTGCTTTAATTTAAAGATTAAAATAGAAACTGGTAGAAGGAAGAAAGACTTCAAAAATCATGTCAGCTGTATAATCACCAAGTGTTTATTGCACAAAAGCCTGCCTCAAGTTACTTCTGACAGAACTGCTACAGTCTTTTTTTTCTATACATGTGTGTCTCAGTATAGGTTGTTGTCATTGTATGCCATTGAGTTGATTCTGAATCATAGTCACCCCATATGACAGAATAAAACTGCCCCATAGGGAGAGTTTCCTCGGCTGTAAGCCTCATGGGAGCTGATCCCCAGGTCTTTTCTCCCAGGGAACCACTTGTAGAAGTGCCTCCAAGTGGGTTCACACTCATAGCAACCCTGTACAGGGTTTCCTAGGAGTGGCTGTTGAGTTTGAATCGCTGGCCTTGTGGTTTAAACCAACCTTGTGGTCCAGTACTTTATCCCACAAATCACTGACCTTTACAGTAGTAGCCAAGTGTTTAACTGTTTTGCCGCCACGACTCCTTCCATTTCAGCATATGTTGTTGCTGTTAAGTGCCACTGAGTTGGTTCCAACTTACAGTGACCCTGTATAGGGTTTCCAAGGAGCAGCTGTGAGCTTGAACTGCTGACCTGGTGGTTCAAACCATCCGTGAGGTCGAGTGCTTATCCTAAGGCACCACACCAAGACTTTTTTCCAACATATTCTCTTTATTCTCTTGCATTGGTAGCCATCTCTCCTGCCAACCTTTCTCAACTACAAGGTTCTTTGAGGGAAATAAGCCCTAACACCCTAAGCATTCACTGTATGTAATAAATTAACTTCTCTCTTATGAATTTAGAATGCTACTGGTTACTACCATCCTTGGTATTTAGTTGAAAAATAGTCACTGAAATCATTTTTTGAGTTCTGTGGCTCTGGTAAGGAATCCCAGTTGAGAAAGATTATATTTGCAATCTCATCAGACTCTTGCCCTTTTTTACAAAAAGTATTTTATAATGTTCTCTGCTTCCTGCTTTCAAAATGCCATAGTGCCCCCTCAAAAATTATGGCAACCAAAAACACCCCTGCTCATTCATTCCCCATTGAGAAGTATTGTTCCAACCATGGAGCACAGGCCATGAACATAGCACCTGGCACGTTATAAAGGTTTATTATGTACATTACAGATGTCTTAATAAATAAAGCATTTGAAGAAAACATTGTGAGCTTTGTAATTACTCTGGAAAAAATAACACAAAAACTGAAAGGAAAGGACTCAACTAAAAAAGTTAATTTCAGATGATAGAAATGTTCATGAAGAGTACTAAGAAACCAAAAATTTCTCTAAATTATGTGTGTGGTGTTGCAGAATAAGCACTGGACTGCTAACCACCATAAGGTTGTTGGTTGAAACCCACAAGAAATAAAGAAGAGGAATATTCGTTTGAGTAAGTGGCAGTCTCTTATCAGGTGACAGAAAGAAATAGCAAACTACTGAACCCTAACCCCTCCATCATCTTCTCTAACTAAGAAAATGATTGTCTTAAAACTTTTTATTGTGAATTGAGTGAAAGTTTACAAAACAGGTCATCAGTTTTACATTTACCATCATACCCTTCATTTCACCCCAGTGAGAATCGTCCCCTCAGTTTGAATTTTAGCCTCAGGTAAATGATGCCCTTTTGATCGTGAGTGGCTGACTATTCTCTGGTGTATATTCCTCACTAGTATTGTTGTCCCCTGTATAACCTTCTGTTTCTGGTTGAAATTGAGCCAGTTCCAGACCTGGAAAGTGACCAAGGACCTTAGTCCCAGGGTTCCACGAGTCTCTTTTTTTGGCCAGTAAGCTTGGTCTTTTTTCTGATTTTGACTTTTGTTCCACATTTTTTCTACTCTATTCAGAACTTTCTTGTGTATCACCTTTAGAGCAGTTGGCATTGGTAGCCAGGCAACATCTAGTTCGTCTGGTCTCAAGGGTGTGGAGACTGATGTTCACGTGGTCCTTTAGGCTGTGGGACTAATTGTTTCTAAGGGACTTCAGTTTTTATCACTCTTATTTCTTCCA